CCAAACCTCCATCTTCTCCTTCAGTGGAGGAATTTAATGCAGTTGTTGTAATTGCATCAGTTCAGATTTATCATTTAAATCCAGCAGCTCATCTGCTCGCTCTCTATATAATGACCCAGTTTCTATTAATTTTAGGTTAGGAACACATGAGCCAAAGCTGAACGCTCTGCTGAACGCTTTGATCCAAAGACTTTCCCCATAACTCTCTAACTTTAGCAGCCAAGCAGCGACCTTGATCGGTCTGACCTCGCTGCTGTTGGTCCCGGATGATAAGCTGCCATTGACATTCGTTATCAATGTGTTCACTATCTCTGGGCACGCCTAACCTCCTGGACAAAACAAACAGCTTATGTACACACACACACACATCTGGTTCACTATTCCAGAGGGGACTTTCCATGGACTTCCATTCCGTTCATTCTACAGAGTAATCCTAACTGTGACCCAACTCCTAAACATTGCAGCTTCATACCTAACCCTAACCTAAATCACACCTTAGTCCTGAACCAAACACCTCCACCTAAAACAGTACCCATGAGGAGCAGAAAGCGGCCCCCTCTAGAGTCTCCACAATGTTAGGAATACACACTTCTAGTTTCTATCCATATTAAGACTTTACATTCACCGACACAGAATTTATATAGTGTATTTATGCTAACCCTGAGATTCAGCCTAACCTTAACCTGAATTATTTCACACCATTCCTCTAAAGGACTCTCGAAGGTTAGAAATGGGGTCTGCCACTTTAGGACCAGCCTTTGGTCCCCATAAGGCCTGTTGGTCCTCAGAAGGTTGGTAAACAGACCAGAACCGATCCTAATAGGTAATATAAACAAGCACACACACTAGGAGCAGAGTGCACAGTCAGCACAAGTGTCAAACAGCCGCTGTCCATTTGTGCGTGTTTATATCACTCCACCCCCGGCTCGCACGCTAGCTGACCCACTTGTGACCCTGACATCTCAGTGAACTCTTGTGTGCAACCAAGTTCACTGATTATCACTTGGAGAGAGAGAGATTTGTAGACACCACCTGACAACAGATCTGTATGATCAGATATCAGTATGGCAGACTCACTAAATCATCATCACCCAATGATCCAGTTCTGTTTGTTTGGTTTCATATCATGAAGATCTAATCAAACAGGCTTGTTTATAAAACACCAATTAACACCTGAAGGAACTTTACAGAATCGATTCAGTCAGATTGGTTCAAAGTTTTCTATCTAAAGTCGGGCACACACTGTACAATTTTCTTCAGGAATCGTAAGGTTGGGAGATAATCAAACATTTGGAATTCAGTCCAACGTCTTAAGGTCACATCAGAGTGAGAATGAAATATTGTGAGCTGTGAACTTTTAAAACCTGCAGTTTGCGTCGTTCAGTTTGAGCTGCAGCTGAATGCCACGATGGAAAATATCGCACAGTGTATGCCCGGCCTAACTAAAACCAGCTGATTGCATCGACTCATTGACTCAAATGCAATCCCTCACACTAAGCATGCTTGCAGCGACAGTGGAGAGGAAAAACTCCCTTTTAACAGGAAGAACCCTCCAGCAGAACCAGGCTCAGTGTGAGCGGCCATCTGCTGTGGCCGACTGGGGTTCAAGCGACAGGAGGAAGGGATGAGCTGCGCCTAGCGACAGCGAATCATGAGGAAAGCTGTGCAACAGATGCAATAGCTTAGTATTTTTCATTGGCCAATCTATAGAAGTGTAGTAGCAGAATGCCACCAATAGGAGGCAGTTTACATTAGTATGTTTGCATTAAGCCAATATGTGAGACAGCTTGTGATAATACAGCAGATGAAGGGTTAACCCGCGTCCTTCCTCAGTGATGAAAGGTTGAGAGTTAGATTCCCCATATTGGTTCCAAAGCAGGGTGTGTTGTTTATAAATCTATTAGACTTTCTTTGGC